AATTAGGTGCGATCCAAACACCTACCCATTGGTGAACGATCAAAAATTGGCAGGGCAACTCTGGGCTCCCATCCAAACAGCCCCAAAGCCACTATGGATGTGATTCACCACAGAGGATTTCAGGAGTGAAAACTACGGGCCTACTTGGTTGATGCCCATGCGAGCCCTACAAAAACGAGGGCTTGCCAAAATTTTGGCACAATATTTTGCCGTTAGGGTTTCACCCACATGTTGCAGCAAAATCTAAAGAGGTGACCAAATAATTGGCAGGGATATAAAAAATTAGGGGGACATTTCGATTACGCCCAGGATGGCCATGCCAAATCAGGGCGAGGCAAAATTTTGGCGAAGGAATTGATCGCCCGCGTTTCGCTCGCGCGTGGGCATCATATCTGAACTAGACGACCAAAATATTGGCATGGAAAGGGAAGGCGGGGTTTAGGGCCTGTTCGGAGGCTCCCCAGCTTCTCAAAACTCCAGAAAACCAGCTTCTACTCCTCGCTTCTAGCTTCAGCTAGCGATCCCAGGAGCATTCGGCTCGATGTGCAGCTTCTCCCGTTGGTGCAGCCCAGTTGGGAGGGGATGTGGCCTGTTAGGCGTACGTCGGGCCGGCTGGACGCAGCCCAATTAGCTGGTTACAGATTCGAGCGAGACTAGCGTAACGCTTCGATCGATCCTTTTTCTATTCGACAAGGGGATGCAGCGAAGCATTTTCTTTAGCGGTGGCAGTTCGCTGTAAATTGAGCGAACTCCACGCTTCACGTTTTGGTGGAGCTGGGCCGGTCGTGCTTCTCATTTTTACACTACGGGAACGATCAGCTTCGTGAATTCAGCTTCTCGGGCTGCAACTGTTCTGGATAAATTCATCTGTAAAGTTTTGAAAGCGTGGAGCTGGAGGACATCAGAACACGCCCTTAACCCAAACATTCATCCATGCAGTCGGTGAATGCCAAGACTTGGAGTGGTAACTGTCGGCCACGATCCAAACGACCCTTCCAAACAAGGGTGTTGCTGGGCCCCGGGTTTCCAGGGTCGTGGCCTGGGGCGTGGTGGTGAAAACGTTCGTTGATTGTAGCTACAGTCACAAATTGTAGCTACAGTGTAATGGCCTAGGGCGTGCAGATATTCTGGCTATGACACTGCTTTCAAACACCTATCAACCCATCTGTCAACGACCAAAAAATTGGCAGGGCAGCTCTGGGTCCCATCCAAACATCCCCAAAACCACTATGGATGTGATTCATCACAGATGATTCATCAGGAGTGAAAACCTTTTTTTTAGAATCGGGACACTCCCCTCTTCAACGGGCGCATCGAAGGGCCCAGGCCATTGTTCCAAAAAAAGGGGACCCAGGCCACACCGTGCCGTCCGTGTCCAGACGTGGCCAGCCCAACCCAGCCAGCCCAGCCCAGCGCATCCAGACGGGTTAGAAGCCGTTAGTCCCGTCTGTCCACGGCGTCAGCCACGCCCAGCCCCAAATTCCAAAACCCTCGCCTGGTTCGCTGGTTTTCACTCGAGAGACGACAATGATGGCGGCGCAGCCGACGGCTAACCCGGGGGTCCGCCTCGGCTGGAATGGCCCTGGCGTTCTGGCGTCCCCGCCGCGCCTGGCGCTCTCTCGCTCCGCCGCGGCGGAGTTCGCGTCACACAGGTTGCCCCCGGTCTCTGTGACTACTTTTTTTTTTAGTGTATATAATCGATTTGTTGATTACTAAAATCGGAACAGCCTGAGATTTCATTTATTTGTGAATTACTGTTGAGATTCCAGGATTTGTTGGTTCATTAGATACTAGTCAGTGTGACAGTGAGATTGGGTGGATAGAGAATAGAAGACCAGCGAGAATTAGATTCCCCCGGCAGGAAAGAACAGAACTGGATTAGTTATTTAGTTCTAGTTCTAGACTTGGACCTCAGAATAGTTAGTGTAATTTGGTTTGAGTGTTAAATTAAGGATAATGACAGCGTGTTTGCTCTTACTTTAGTTGGCACCAAACATGTGGGGGGCTGTTTGGCTGTAAACCTATTCCAGTGTGATAGTTGCCTTTTTGTTGTTGTTATTAAGGAACCATATTTTATACTAGCAACTTATCAAATAGGATGCACCAGACAATGTGGTGGGTGGACCGAGTCTGCATTTGAGCTATAATTAGTCAATCTTTGCAAATCCTTTGTTTCTAGTGATAGAATCGGAAGCTATGAAGCCTCTTTCTCAAAGAAAAAAGAAGAAATAAGTAGTACCAGTAGGCGGCCAACGTGTTTCCTGAGCCACATACCTCTTGGTAGGTACTCAAGAAGGTTCCATTGCAGCGTTATATTTCGCACCTGTTTTATTCAAGAGGCTGTGTTTATAATATGTTTCATTTGTCCTACAATGTGCACAGCTTCCCATCTGGATTATTCAGGATTTTCATCCTTCTGTAATGTGCAGTTTTCCTTCCATTGTTAGAACTGAACATGGGTTTTAGCTTTCATTTTTACACACTGGTTTCAGCTTGTCTACTCTGCCCCACTTCCAAAAGCAACACACTAATGCCAAAAAGTGCTTGTACAGGGCTGGCAGAGGAAAGTTTTCAGCTGCGGCCATCACTACCGATGATTATCTTCCGATGCGAAGTACTGAAGTGAAAAATCGGTGACTTTTCTCTCTCTAAAAGAAAGCCTTAGTTTCTTGTTTTATTCATTTCATCATAGGTTGCTTGTACTTTTTGGTTGATCCACTGAACAAGCTGTTAAGTTTGTATATGCCATAAAGCTAACAACAGTGTACCCTGGATTGTACCGATTCAGTTAATATGTTGTCCCCCTCCTATTTCTCTGCTGCCTCACTTCAAAATTTAGAATGTCTTGGGCATCTTCTTGCAATGGTCAGTATCTGTAAATTTTGCTTTCGCCGTTCATTGAGTTAGGTCAAACAAGAAAAATATTCTTACTTAAACTGATGGAGATTATGTCAATTTTGGCCCATTTTTTATGGCATGGTACTATGGTAGCCTGGATACAGTCTTGAGAGCCAGATGCTTTACTGGCACACCAATTGATGATCATGTTTGCTCTCTACTGTTTTCTGTTGCATGGGAGGAATATGATAACTCCCCAAAGCTACTGAGAAGTAGAAATGTGAAGTTAAATTTATTGTCTCAGAGACTAGGGATGAAAACATACTGGGAGAAGATGTTTACAAAGTCAAAGTTATTGTGTTTGTGTGATCAATCCTGTTTCACCCGTCACTCGATTTATTGTTGTAACATCAGGGCCCACTGGCATAGCTATTATCTTCTGCAGTTTGTACCTTTTTGCTAAATTGCCACATGTTCTTCTGTACCATTTCTCTAGTGAATTACAATAAGTCCAGGTCTAGCCCCTGAATTATTGTTTCGCTAATAGAGAAACAAAGGGTGTTCTTAACTTCTTATTATCTTCCTTCATTAAGCCAATTCTGTAAAACCAACCTAGTTTTTGTGAATTATCCCTTGTTTTGATAAGCTAGTCAATTGTTGTAGATAGTAGAGTCTAAACTAAGCATATTGTATGCTTGGTTCATTCTGCTAAACAAATGATGCTTGTACAATCCTAGTGAATGGGTAACCGAGCGGTTTAGTAGCTTAGTAGCCACATGACTGAACATGGACCATCCTGTTTGCACACAAGTATTTGACGGCTTTGATACATGTCTGCTGCTTATATCTGATCTTTCCCTGTCTGCAGGACATCAGTAGATGGAATCAAAAGTCTCAGACTAATCACAGCAGTCAAAACCCCCTATTTGCCAGATGGAAGATTTGATCTTGAAGCATATGATTCTTTGATAAACACACAGATAAATGGGGGCGCCGAAGGTGTAATTGTTGGTGGAACAACAGGAGAAGGTCATCTTATGAGCTGGGATGAACACATCATGCTCATCGGGCACACTGTTAACTGCTTTGGAACTAACATTAAAGTGATAGGCAACACGGGAAGTAACTCAACTAGAGAAGCTATTCACGCTTCAGAGCAGGGATTTGCTGTTGGCATGCATGCAGCTCTCCATGTCAATCCTTACTATGGGAAGACCTCAACTGCAGGACTGATCTCTCATTTCGACGAAGTCCTCCCGATGGGTCCAACAATCATCTACAATGTGCCAGCCAGGACTGGTCAGGATATACCCCCTGCAGTCATTGAGGCACTCTCAAGTTATCCAAACATGGCAGGAGTGAAAGAATGTGTTGGACATGAACGGGTGAAGTGCTACACTGACAAAGGTATATCAATATGGAGTGGCAATGATGACGAATGCCATGATTCAAGGTGGAAACATGGTGCTACTGGAGTCATTTCTGTAACTAGCAACCTTGTTCCTGGCCTCATGCGCAGTCTCATGTTTGAAGGGGAGAACACAACGCTAAATGAGAAGCTACTGCCTCTGATGAAATGGTTATTTTCTGAGCCAAATCCGATTGGTGTCAACACTGCACTGGCTCAGCTCGGTGTAGTGAGGCCTGTTTTCAGGAGACCATACGCCCCTCTTTCTCTTGAAAAGAGGACCGAGTTTGTCCGGATTGTTGAAGCAATCGGGCGGGAGAACTTTGTGGGACAGAAAGAGGTGCGGGTTCTGGATGATGATGATTTTGTGTTGATCAGTAGGTATTAAATAAGTGAGTTCATTGTGTGCTATGTACGTTACGAACAGCGGCGGTTCTCCTTTTAGACATTTCATCAGCTGTTCAACAGTCATATGTTTTATCTTTTCTGTGATTGGAAGTTAATTTGGAACCCTGTGGGGTTTCTTTGCACCCTATAATGCCAGTTCTAGTGAGAAATGAGAATAAGCTAAGAGATGTACAGCTCTCTTGTGATCAATCCATAACTAGTATTCTTTCTAGCTCTAGGTTACTACAATCCATATAGTATTACTATTATAAGTGTCTTATTTATGCTGATCAAGCCATGGAACCCTGTAATGCTGATCAAGCCATGGAACCCTGTAATGCTGTTTAATCACACATAGTATGTACAACTAGTCTGTTTTCTCCTCTTCTTCCTTGTCTGCAGAGTTGCTCTTGGTGATGGAGGAGACGACCGAGAGCGGCACCTGCTTGGCCCACCGCTTGATGTCGTTCACCCTCTTGCCGGCCTTCCTCCCCTTGCCGTGCGGCCTCCCGGCGCCGCTCTGCCGGTCCTTGGTGATGGCGATGGCGAGGTCGTTGGGGAACAGCGAGCGCCAGTAGAAGGCGTGCAGGAGCGTCGACACGAGCAGCAGCGACACCATGGTCGTCGACATGAGGGACAGGCTCAGCGCGAGGGCTCTGCTCGTGAAGCACGGCACGGCCTCGGCATACTTGACGGTCGCCAGCGACGCCGTCGTCATGGGGAACGTGTAGGACCACCACGCGATGGAGAACCTGTTCGTCGTCATGGCAAATGATCATCGAGTTCATCGGCGGGATTGAATCGAAAGGTGGTACAAGATTAGAAGTGGTGCTCACCGGAAGCCACGGAAGAAGTTGATGCGCACGACGAGGGACATGTAGAGGAAGAGCGCCATGAAGAAGAAGGTGCGCGCGACGGCGTCGAAGCTGCCGTAGATGGCCGCCCAGGCGAGGCTGGCGGCGGACGGCGTGGCGATGAACATGGAGTAGACCGGGTGCAGCTCCATGGGCAGCGCCTCGTTGGTGGGCAGCCGCTGGTAGAGCGTTACGAAGACGACGATGTAGTGGGAGACGCCGATGGCCCACAGGAACTTGCCGGCCTCCTCCCACCCGACCCGCGCCGCCAGGATGGCGCCCACGAAGTTGCCCACCACGGACAGGTGGGACGACGGGTTGGCCACCTTGCACAGCCTCCGCTTGCCGCCCGACAGCCACTGCCCGTAGATCTTGAGCTCCAGCGCGAACAGCGGCGCCACGAACGCGCACCACACGGCCGGGTGCAGCCTCGCCGGCGCGAAGGCGCGGGGGAGGCCGATGGCGAGGAACATGGCGGCGATGGACGGCGTGAAGAAGAAGTTGACGCGCACCGGGTGGAAGAACTCGCGCCGGATGGCCTCGAAGTAGAAGACGCACTTGAGCGCGTAGGTGACGGACGTGGCCACCAGCACGGCCGTCGCCAGCAGCCACACGGCGACGTTGATCATGGGCGTCACCCGGAGGAACCCCATCGCCGGGCTCGCCGCCAGCGCGCCCCACAGGATGGCCTGGCTGCCGAGCCCCAGGCAGACGCCGAAGCAGCCGATCGGGAACCGCAGCAGGAACGGCCACACCTCGTCCTTGGGCAGCAGGATGTCTTCGTAGTCCTACGTACAAACAGTTCAGTCAGTAGTATGATTTTTCAGCAAAATCATACTGATCAGCGAGGACAAGATGGATGGATGACTTACGCGGACTTCGTCGAGCTCGGGGCCGCGAAGCGCGGCGAAGTAGCGGCCGGCGGGGACGCTCTTGTTGAGAGGGTCCACGTCGGGCCTGCCGGTGGGCTGGCCCTCGACGTGGTCCAGGTCGACGCCGTCCAGCTCCTCCTTGATCCTGGACGGCAGCATGGAGTTCTGCTTGCTGAGCGTGGACTTGGTCCGGAACATGCTGAAGTCGCCGCCCCTGCGCGGGGCGCCGTCCGGGCCGAGGCCGCCGCTGTGGTTGAGCACGCCGAGGCTCTTGCCGCTGCGCGGGAGCGCGCGCTGCCCGGGCCTGCCGCCGTTCCTCCCGCCTCTGTCCATGCCCATCACCGTGACGCCGCTGCCCAGGGACACCTGCCGGCTGAAGGCCCTCTGCGCCGGCGGCGGCCTCCGGTCGCTCCGGAGGTTGAGCGGCCCGCTCATGGACGTCTGCCTCGGCTCCTCGGGCTGCTGCGCCGCCGTGCGGATGTCCACCGCCGCGTGCTGGCCATTGCCCGCCCCCGCCCCCGCCGCCGCCGCCGATGGCTCCGCTCCCGACATCCCGCAGCTAGCTACTCGACGGCAGCAAGAACTCAGGTGCTCGAAATGTTGGCGGCGTCGCCGTCCAGCGCCGATATAAAAGCTCCGCTCCGGGCCACGAGGATGTCAACGTGAGCCGTGAGCGGGTGCTTTCACGTGTGCCGTCACCGCGTCCATGCATGCACACGGAGAGGCCATTGTTGTCCAAGTGGTTGGGCGACGCCGAGGACACCATGGATCGCTGCTAGCCACGCCTTTTGCTCCAAAGGGGGATGCCCATGGCGAGGTCACGGGCAGTGGCATCCACTGGGTGTGCGCTGCCGTTACCGTCGCGCCGGTCACAAAATCGGCGAAAAAGCTCGAGGTTTTGTAGCCACGACGATGCGTGAAAAGCAGGGGGCCGGTCGAGGAGCCCTGCCTAGTGTGTTCGGGTCTGGCATTTCGGCAAAAGCTCACGTGTAGGTACCCAGCAGCCACGCACGAACAAACTCCCCTTGGCATGTGACCTCAGAACACTACTGGTTCAGATGGCGTAAAAACATAAGCAAAAACTGGCAGATAAGCCAGCTCCGGACTAGTTCATTAAAATTGAAGGTACCACAAAATCTCGGTATGTTTCTCCACGACAACAAAAATCTCAGTCATCTTCCAGCATTTCTGAATGGAGATGCATACATGTAGTGCTGCAGTACTTGTAGCTGTACCTATGGAATGGTACCTTGCCTGCCAGGGATGAGAAACAGCATGAACATGTAGCGTCGTTTGCCGCTGCTGTTGTCTGCGTGGAGCTGCCCGCCGCAGCCGGGGGCCCTGATTGAACTGCTAGCGCTGCGAGCCTTCTTTCCGCTGCCGCTGCTCTTTTCTCTCTTTCGTCGGCGAGTTTCCGGTCTCGTTCCTCCTGGTTAACAGTAAATCAAGGTATAAGTATGTGTGCGGTGTGGAAATACCAAAACATGTGCTAAGCCTAAGATGGTTGCCCTTTAGAACACACCTGCATTGAAAGAGCAACAGCCTGGGGATTCTTATGTTTCAGGCCTGGCACAGAAGCAGTTGGTTTGCCCATTTGGCCAACTGAAGTACCTTTAGCAACAGGTTGTGATTGCGCTGCTAGCGCCTGCAGTTTCGAAGGATTAAATATCAGACATAAGTAGCTAGATCAAAAACATACTCACCAACCATTTTTTTAATAACAAGATATGAAGTACTCCCTCTGTCCCAGAATATAAGAACGATTTTACACTATGCTAGTGTTAAAAACGTTCTTATATTTTGGGACGGAGGGAGTAACAAATTAAACGCCAGCAAAGCAAAGCACTATATTCGGGGCAACTAGTGAATGGTGTTAAAAAAAGGGCAACCAGTGAATGGTACTTGCAACAGTATCACCAGGTAGTGCATTGCATTCATGTGCAACCAAGTACTCCCTCCGTCCGGAAATACTTGTCGGAGGAATGGATGTATCTAGACGTATTTTAGTTCTAGATACATCCATTTTTATGCATTCCTCCAACAAGTATTTCCGGACGGAGGGAGTATAAAATATACATGCAGTCATATTTACTCACAACAATCATAATAATGAAACCATTACCAACCTTCTCTTTTTCCTTTTCCTTCTCCTTTTCCTTCTCTCTAGCCTTCTTTTGTTTCTTCAGTTCCTTTGCTCTGGCTTTCTTCTTGGCATCCTTCTCTGCCTAAAGAACAATTACAGATCAATTTACACAGCCATCTTCTTTCCCATTCAACGAGAACAACAACAACAACAAAGCCTTTGGTCCCAAACAAGTTGGGGTAGGCTAGAGGTGATCTTTTGGGTTTCATCTCCATAAGAGTGGCTGAGCTTTTACGTTGGCTCGAAAAGCCTATCACAACCCTCCTCCTTTACCCGGACTTGGGACCGGCTGTGTTGAGACAACATAGGCGGAATTCCCCATTCAACGAGAACAAGAAAACTTTATTCACAGGACATGAAACTCACCTGTTTTGCAGCTTGTGATTCTTCCATTTCCTTTGTTAATGCACTAGGCACATCAGCAGCATGCCAATCCCATTTGTCAAGGTTGAGCGCCATGAATCTTCTGAACGTATTTCTCACTTCTTTGTCCGAAGCCAGCAGGTAAGGTGTCTTTCCTCTTTCATCTTTGATACAAGGATCCAAACCCTGCTCGAGCAATTCCATAGTTTGTTCAACATTGCCAGCCTTTGCAGCTTCATGGAGAGGTGTTGTTGCATTATTAGATGGTATGGCCATTGCTTCATGCGAATCTGATGAGTCCAAAATAGGTTCCTCAGGGGCCACACTTGTTTCTTCCCTTACTTCTGTACTTTGCTCAAACTTTGTCACATTTTCCACAAGGGGTAAGACTTCACCCATAATAGAACATTCCGTCTCATAATAGAGCTGTGTTAGGTTATTGTATACGCGTTTCGCTTCTTTCAAGGTGGGCCGATGAACAGTCAAAGGGAGTGGACGAATATCACATGCTTGCAATACCGATTGAGCCTTATCCCCGTCAAAGAGCATCTGGCGGTTCTTTGATGGAGCGTATATATAGACACAAACACAGGCGTCAAAGTATGGCTTCCAAGAAACTATTAATTCTTGAACTTCCTGCAATTAGACCGACAACAACAACAACAAATAAAAGAAATATAAGTAAACCATGACCAAATTTGGATATTAACTTGTAATCAGGTGCTAACATCTACTAGACTTCCAGTGAAAAAGCACCCAAATAAACTTATGCTCTAAACTGTGTATTACCTTTTTCAATGCTGCTTCGTTATAGCGGCGAAGAGAAGAGCCCGCTGAGTTTGCAACCTTTCCAGTAGCATCTTTTCCAGACTGCCTCTTTCCAGCCTTTGCCCTTACAACATACCTAACACATAAATAAGTAAGAATTATCAGTTATTACTAATACTGAGTCAGTAACAGTATTGCCAACTAATTTTGCTTGACAAACAAAAAATCTAACTAATTTTGCCAGTCACGGAGGTACAACTATGCTGACTGAACGAATAAAATTTATTCTGCAAGGTGAACTTGACATGATTATCAAAAGCGACAGCAAAATGTTCGTTGCTAGATTATCTAGTTTAATTCTGTCAAACTGTACTACTTTAATATTTATTGCGTAGGAGCATTTCTTACTGTTCCAATGAGAAAAAAATCTCTATCATTTTTTTTAGAAATAATTTATTCTGCATAGGGCAACAATGTGCTGCGAGCATATTACTGTTTGTTGTCATAAAACTGAGAGTGTTGATGTTCTTGATCATGTCAGGGTGTACATAGAAATTCATCAGGGTAATGTCGATAAAGAAAATATGGCTAACAAGCATGGACAATATTCGGGACAGACAATCTTGTTACCTGTGAAAAGTTTTATTTGCTAATATTTTGTTTCCATCAAAAACACATCCAGCAAAATGTCCACCACTTGTTAATATAATGATCCTCAAATGTGATGCATTGCGAGGTTCACATGCCAACTGCTTCACTCTATTTATCATCTCATCTTCATGCACATATGATGTAGATCCGTGACTTTCCATTTTTCCGGATTTGCAGTCAAAAAATGGTTCTTCATGTTCTTTGAACAGTATGCATCTCCAAAAAGAAACCGTGTCACCAGAATGACCATGAAAAAAAAGTTTCTTCCTGAAGTCTTCCTTGCCTTTAACTGAGAGACGGTGATCCGATGCAGGTACATCTTCCCTTTCGTCCTCAGAACCAGATACACTAGATACCTCCAAATCGTCAAACAGAGAATCGGAATCAATTTTTTCTAAGTCTTCTTCCTTGATAATAGATTTACCAGCAACACTCAGCTTAACCTGACAGGATTGCCAGAAAAACAGATTCAAGAGTGTCAATAAGATGAGAAACATGTAGCACGGATAGGTTTTTGAGAATGACTACACAAACCCCACAGTAATTAGACTAAATATAACAACAGCAGGAGGAGATTCATGCTTTTAAATCCAAAGTCCCACTTAACAATAACCGTTTTTCTTTCAAGTATGTAGCAAGTAGAAAGTTTTGCATTGAATCTTCGCAGCATCAAGAAAATTTTTAAAATAAAATTGCCCCAAGATCTAAACTAGTGATTACAAACTAATCAGTTTAGTCAGGTGAGTCACCAGAGTAGTAAAGTAGATAGCAAATAAATAAAAGAATGCAAAGTGGACCAGTAATGACGGCATAAACATTTCCAGTTAGTAGGACATGAACAGTGTACTTTTTAGTGAGCATTTCGCTGTTGATACGAGTGACGCCATGTGGATGTAAGCTATGCACGAATGCAAGAGGAAGGGCAACAAAGAGTGGATTGACTCCTATGAAATATCTGAATTTGGTGGAAAACGTCAAACACATGTAACAAACAAATTTTCCATGTCAAGTTTGTGGATTGACTTCTAATAGGGTTTCAAGTTCTGACATCTAGAATTTGGGGCTCCAGTGCAATATAAGAGGCTTCTAGTTAGCTATTCCTAGGTACCACTGAATGAGTAGATGAATCTAGAGGCTCAATTGATCACTATCTGCTGTCCTTCTCAAGTACTCCACTGAACAGCACATACAGCTGCAGGTCCGAATTTCCATCTGCTGAAGAATGTGTCCTATGATGAACACTAGCATCTAAACACCATTTACACTCTTTCTTCAGTTGTTTCTTCCCACATCAATCTAGAGGCTCGATTAGTACAAAGGAAGATGCGATGTCAGGTAAAGAAGAGGGATGAGGATATATACGTTGAGGCGGTGGAGATCGGACTTGAAGTGCTCGCGCTGCTCCTGCAGCGAATCGAATTCGCCGGCGCAGGTGTTACACGTCCACCGGAACCCCGCGGCCTCCGGCGGTTGCTGCTGCTGCAACGGCGCCGGCGCCGGCCTGGAGGGTTCGGACGGCTCCGCTGTGGAAGGGGCCAAGGCGGGGTGGGACCGGAAGAGTACATACGAGTCGAAGAAGTCCGAGGGGAGGTCGAAGAGCGAGCGGGGAGGTCTGTTCTCCGGCGCG